TGCTTGCTTGTGAATTAATTAAGCAATTTGTTAAGTGCGAATATTTAATTAACAACCGGGTGATTGGCTGTGCAAATATAACTAAATAATATTGCAATGCTGCGGCTAACATAATTATAATCCATTTATATTTGCTTGGCATTGATATATAACATTTGGGGATTTCCCTTTAACAGTTGATACCCTGCCTTTTGGCGGCGTCGGCATGAGCGGCATGGGCAGCTATCATGGCAAATATGGATTCGATACCTTCACGCACAAGAAGTCGTGCCTGGGCAAGAACCTGGCCATGCTGGGCGAAAAGATGGCATCGTAAGTGGCATATTATATGCATGTATACATATATTTTTAATTCGATTTTATATTCTATCATATATAGGGCACGCTATCCGCCGTATTCGGATCGGAAGAGTTCGCTGCTTTCGTTCCTGTTGCGCAAACGCCGCCCGCTCCCCAATTTGTATCTGTCACACATATTTGCCGCTGGTCTTGGCATTGGGCTCACATTCTTGATGAACTATTATCTGCAGGTAAGAAAGGTATATTGTGCAGCCGAGGCATTTGTTTGTGCCAATATTAATCAATGTGATTATTTTACATGCATATCATACGTATTTCATCGGGCCAACTACACCAAATCCCAATCATATGCACCACACACGCATATTTGCATAAATTCCAATTCATGCCCAACCTACGTCCAACTTTTTAGGGCAAGCTGTTGTCGCGCTAGAACCCATTAAATCTATGGGTCGGACTTGAGCCGTAACACACCATGAGCCAGTGGACTTTTGTCATTTATACTATATTTGGATTCGCATTCGCAGTAAATGCACAAGCATTTAGTATTAATTAATTTGTTTTAACGGGCTTTGTGCTTTGTACTAACTAGTATATTAAGTATTAAGTATCAATTTTGCATTTAATTACAAAACAAAAAACTTGATATACATAAAACATGCATCCTTTAACCCCTTTACAATGTAAATAACCAATTCAATATGATTGAACACTTGTAAAACATAACATAACACGTATATATTTTCTCTTATTTAATTGTTTTTATTTACAATTCAATGAATCGATTTATATTTTCAGAAATCAGAATCAAACTAAATATGAGCATGTACTTTTGTACTTTTAATACGCGAAACGGTGGGTGATGTAATGCTATTGGATACTCCGCTTTATACTAGTTATTGTTATTTAGTTGCTATTTAAATAAACACAAAAATAAATGTTAAAAAAAATATATATATATATCTTTAAGTCACTCGTTACATTTATTTCAAATGCGCGCCCAACAGTGTTGCCATATTGCGGCGGGCGATAACATCGATTTGAAGCAACCATGCGTTTTGGCATTTTAAGCATATTTATTAAAATGTGTATAGGGGCACACTGGCGCCAATATTAATTTTTAGAGTCACACTGAATTTTTGTCTATCATTATCCGTTCACTTGGCTTTTATAATTTATTTTGTTTTGGACAGAATACCGTATAAAAACATCAACAAAATGGCCGCTCGCGGCGATCTAATTGCACAATTCATTGAAATCACTGGCAGCGATGAAAATGTTGCTCGTTTCTATCTGTCCAGCTGCGACTGGGACATTGAGGTAAATTTAATAGGAACCCATTAACAAAGAAAGGTCAAAACATGAAATGAAAATTTTATATAAAACCTAAAGCAAGCACTTGGCAACTACTGGAGCACGCAATCGGACCTACCAGCTATTCGCACACTAGTGGGACAGTCAGAAAACCCGACACCGGCACCGGTAACAACTTCAAGTGCTGCCGCCGCCAGCGCCAGCGCTGGCCCCGCCGCCGCCGCAACGGCAACAGCCGCTAAAGCTGTGCCGGCGGCAACTAGTGCTCCACCAAAGGCTTCAAGTGCTAAACCAAAGTAAGCAATCTGGTTAGTTTGTGTGTGTTGTTTTGTGACCTATTCTTGGTATTTAGGTTCGCCACGCTCAGCGACATGTCCAAGCAGTCGTCCAGCGATGATGAGCATCAAGCCTTTTATGCCGGCGGCTCTGATCGTTCGGGCCAGCAAGTCTTGGGACCGGCAAAGCGTAAAAACTTTCGCGAACAACTAACCGATATGATGCGCTCCGCTCAGGAGCAGAACATTGCCGAAGTGGGCGTCGGTCCGTCGACCAGCGCCACGGCAAACGTTAGCGGCGGCAATGTTTGGGGTCAGGGCATGCGTCTGGGCATGACCAACAATGATCACACGTCAGTGGGCGCCAGTCGCCCAGCACAGCCAGCGGAAAACAAGCCGGTTGTGGTGCTTAAGCTCTGGAGCCAAGGCTTCTCCATTGACGGCGGCGAGCTGCGTCACTATGATGATCCGCAAAACAAGGAGTTTCTGGAGACGGTGATGCGTGGGTAAGCCGCAGGCATTTGATACTTAAAAAAAAAGCACGAGTTTTCACATTGTTTACTCAGGGAAATTCCACAGGAACTGTTGGAAATGGGACGCATGGTAAATGTCGATGTGGAGGATCACAGACAGGAGGACTTCAAGCGTCAAGCAGTGCCACAAACCTTCAAAGGTTCTGGCCAGAAACTGGGCAGTCCCGTAGGCAACATTGTGACCAACAAAGAACCAGCCGCTGCGGCTACCCTCGCCCCTGCCGATGTGGCCAACCAGGAGGCCAGTGCACGTGATGCCATTAATTTGAATGCTGAAGCTCCATCAACCACACTCCAAATTCGTTTGGCAGACGGCTCGCGCCTGGCGGCTCAATTCAATTTGACGCACACCGTCTCGGACATACGTCGTTTTATACAAAAGTAATTGGATTCATTCCGTTTCTGTTGGCAATCATTAAATCGCTTGATTTCTTGCAGCGCACGTCCTCAGTACTCGAACAGCAATTTCGTGCTGGTATCATCGTTCCCAACACGTGAGCTAAGCGATGACAGTTCCACAATTGAGAAGGCTGGCCTTAAGAATGCTGCGCTAATGCAACGCCTTAAATAAACTGTTCACTGTTGAGATAAAAGATACAACAAGAAATGAATAATAATAATAATACAAATGGATATGGTGCATTCAAATTGCAATACAACCCATTAACAAAATTACAACTACAACATTCACAAAATACTTTGTATTGCCAATACGATGTTTTATAATTGTCTATTTATTATATGTACACAATATAAAATTGAATCGTGTCCATTGGAGAATTGTCGTGGCAAATGCGTTATTTCGCTTTATGGCAGTCAATTTAAAATCTCAAGCTTATGCTAACTAGTGTGCTACTTAGACTAGGCGTATTACTATTCAAATGAGTAAATCGACCTCATTGCGCAGATCATTGATGTGATCCATCAGATCCGCGCGCACCCCATTGCGCCAGTCGTGCAGCCCGTCTGCGCCCACCTGCTGACAGTCGACATAGCGATGCGCCAAGCCGCTGGATAAGGGCAGCTCAACGGTTGTTGCTGTTGGCAGCAAGAGCTGCGCCGCCGGCAGCTCCAAGCGGTGAAGCAGCAATTTGTTGGGCGACTTCAGCTCGGGATCGTATTGCACATTATCGACAAGCAACTTTTTGCGCTCATCAAAGCAAACAGCAAAGGTGGCCAGCTCGAAATGGGGTGTTGCCGTGGCATGAACGCGCAGCAGCTGCTGCACGGTGCCCTTGGCCAGTTGGCTAGCGAAGCGTGCGTTCGGATACACCAGCTCGTTCGGTGTGAGCAGCATGGTGAAGCTGGCATAGTTCACATTGCGCAGCAGGCAATCCGTCTGAAGCAGCTGTCGTATGCGTGCGGCGGTGGCGCTTGTTTGCAGAAACGGAAAATTGAAGGGCAATGCATATAAGTGCATGTTGGTGCGATCCAGTAGGCGCACGACCTGTTCCGGCAGCTCGTCGTAGTTGTAGACCAAAAAGTGCTCCACGCCCAGCGCCTGATGAAACAGAAAGAACTGCAGCATGGCATCCACATTGCGTGCAAATCGCGTGCTCTGATCAAAGCTGACCAAGTCCACGCAAATGGTAGCCGGCAAGCGCACCTGGCCGCTGGCAACGGACGCTGCTGCTGTAGTGGCTTTTGCAGCTGCCTTAGCATCTGCTTTGGCAGTCGCCGGTTTGAGGTGGCGCAGGCGCAGTTTAACCTGTCGCTTGATGGGCGACGTCGTATCGCTAAATAAAACATACTGCGGCTGGCCGAAATTGCGGCTCACTTGACAGAAGAAATTGTAGTTGGTGAATGTGCTGGCCTTGTCGTCGACCACGCCCTCGGCGGCATCGCGTTGAAAGCGAAACTTGCCCTGGACACTGCGTCCGCCCACGTCGAAGCTGCAGCGAAAATCGACAACAGCTCCCTTTTTGCCAACAACAATAATGTGTGCCTCTCCACCGACGACCAGCTCATTTTGTTTCCTAAACAATGCGTAATTCAATTTAGAATATCATTATATCAGACAGTTTACTGTACCAGTACGCGGAGTAGGCATAGAAGGAGTCACCAATGAGCTGCCAAACCGGCAGCGGCTTGGAGAATGCCGATTTGGACAAATGCTGCAGATCTTCGGCTGCTGTGCCGTTCTGTAGGCGTCGCAGGACGGCTGCATCATTGCGGCCAAAGAAGTTGACATACTTTAACACATATTTAAGGCGATTGTTTTCGCTCTTGTACATCAAAAGGACGCCAATGCTGAAACAGGATATCAGCAGCAGCGCCAATTGCTGATACTTTCGCATTTTTTGTCGCCTTTTTCAACTCTAAACGGGAAATGTCCCGTATGACAAGCAGCGTACAGTGTTGCCCTATCGTGCGATTTAATATACATCGAGATTACAACAATTTCTGCTCACGTTTGCAACGGTCAAGGAAAAACAAAGAAATAGTTTAATTTGATTATTCATGTTTTACATTAATTATAGAAATTACACAGAATATCATATGCTCATATTCCATTTGAAAAATGTACTCGATATGCTGTCAGGGTATCTGCTAACCGGCTGAGCGTAATGTGTTCTGCTTCTTATGGGCAAATATTGTTCTCGTAGGGTCACACTGACTTTACCACCTCTCTTGAAATAAGCTCAAATAAAATTTTTTTTTTTTATGATTTCCACAATGAGCGCCAAGGAATCAAAAGCCCTCATCAAGGACATACGAGAAACAATAAAGCTGGCCAAATACGGAGACGCCATACACAAATGCCAAGTGACGACAAATTCAAATATGAGTTCTCTTCGTTTTCATTTTGCTGATGTGACGTTCATTTCAGCGACTGCTCAAAAGCGACCCAAAGAATCATATGGGCTACCTGTTACTCGGCGCCGCCTACCAGTACGTGGACAAGTCCGAGGCGGCCAAATATCTGCGCAAATCCATCGAGTACACAGACGGACCGCCCACAGTCGCCCTGCAGGGCCTGGCAAATTGCGCGCCAACTGCGGAGCTGCCTCAGATTTATGATCAACTTGTGGATTTAGTGCCGTAAATGCAGCCTGGACCAAAGCTAAACAACATCTCTGATATACGATTCATAATTATAGTGAAAAGTGCTTGGACTATTACGAAAAGATCTTTGCACTGGCCTCGGATGCGGCATTGTCCAAGGTCTGTTTGGGCATATTCAAAAAGCGAGCTGAAAATCCGAATGACAGCAATTTCAATAAGATTCTGGAATATCTCGGCAGAATATGGTTTGCCAGCGAAATGGAGATATCAACTGCTGAGAGCGAGCTTGTAAGTAGAATCCTTCTTGCTCGACAAGTTATTAAATTCTCATTTATTTTGTGATAGTACAAAATGAGCATGGAACATCTCGTGACTGCCGCAGATGCAGATCTAAAGGGCATGGTATATAAACGCTATCTGAGGTGGCTCTACAAGCAGCGGGACTTTGTGTCCTGCATACGCAACGCCTGCAACATGACCGTGTCGCATCCGCGTGATGTCTACGGCTACGAGTGGATATGCAAGACCTATTGCGAGAACCATGATCGGGCGCACAGCGAGGCCTGGCAACGGGAACTGCCCCTAGCTATACATACATACGCCGAGCAGCTGCTGGCACTGAACCCCAACTCAAATTTGGCATTGCTTGTCAAGGCATTGGATCTGTTTACCCAGGAGCAGTATATTCAGGCACGTCAGTTGGCGCTGCAAGCGCTTGAATGCCAGCCTGGCTACAGGGTGGCCCAACAATTGCTGGCGCGCATCCATATGAAATTGGGTGCACACAGAATGGCGCTGCTGCTGTGGCAGGAGCTGGGCGAAGAGCACGAAGAGTATGCGCAGTGTCTGTCATACGGGAAAGATGCCAAACAGCTGCAAGAAGCCGTCAGGCTTCTTAAGGACAGCCCATCTAAAGACGAACTAAATGTCAAGGCATTGGCGCGCTGCTATTTCAAGCTAGGCGAAACGCAGCAGCTGCACAGTTTGCCCTTGGATGCGGTCACACGCGCGGAATATCTATTGTAAGCTATATAGTTCCCACGAGACGTTATGCTTTAATATGTCTATGTTTTTTGTAGAACACCCACCGAAGCGCTGCAAGCTATGGCCAGCAACGAGTCTTTTGAGGCGCAACTCTTGTGTGGCAAGCTGCACATGCAGCTGCAGCACTATGCCGAGGCACTCAACTGCATGCTGAAGGCCGCACGACTGCAGCCGCACATTGCCGAGTGCTTTGAGCATTTGGCCCGTTTGTATCAGGCGAATGGCGACATTTCACGCGCTCGCAAATGCTACGAGAAGTGCGTCAGTCTCAATGCCTTGGCCGAACAGGCTGTAGATGCCCTCAGCTGCATCTATCAGCAGCTGGGCGAGGAGGAGCTAAATGAAGCACTTCTGCTGAATACCCTACGTCACATGAGCAACGACGCGGATGGCATTCGGTTTCAGTACAAACTGGGCTTGCACTTTTTGCAAGTCAAGAAACTAGATAACGTAAGTCTAAGTACTTTAGTTTTTAACTAAATACACATCTTTCTATTGCACATTTCTTTTAGGCGATTCAATACTTTCGCATTGTCATTAAGCACGATTTTAAATGCATGGCCTATTGGGAATCCCTGGGCGATGCTTATGCGGCACGCGGCTCCTACAATTCCAGCATACGTGTCTTTCAAAAAATACTCGAGCTTTCGCCCAACAACTGCTATGCGAAACTCCAAATAGGTGTCATCAAGACGGTTATTATAGTGGGAATATTGAATGCAATACCTTTATGTTAATATATTATTTCCTTTCAGACGATTCGCATGTATCCCGAGGCAATTGCCGACTTCGATGAGCTTCTCAGAGAGCATCCGGATTATCTGCCGGCCTTAAAAGGCGCTGCCGAGGCGCATATCGGCCTGGCCCACAACCTAAAAACTCAGAATCTTTATGGGCGGGCCAAGGATCATTTCCAGCTGGCTCTTGGACACTTGCAAAGGTCTCACTGATAACAGATATATCTTATATCAGCTGACCCACATTTTGCATCTTCACAGCGCCTTCTTGGACACCAAGGCTCAGGGCATGGTTTGGTTGTGGCGCCTCACGGCCAGCGTCTTGGTGCAGACATCGCAGTTGCCCCAGTCTCTGGCCAATTTGGATGTGGCTGGTAGTTTGGCCAAGCGCGAAGAGGAAATCGCTTACCTGTCACGCAAGGATCTATTGCAGCTGGCGCAAAGATTTTATCTGTGCGCCTTGAAGCTAAAGCAAAACACATATTTGTGGTACGAATTGGCTTTGTGCAGCTACTACAGCGCCGTCTATATGCCAGAGGATGCAAAGGCTCATCTGGAGACCGCCACCAAGGTGTGCAAAATGGCCATCAAGGAGTGCCCCAATCGCTGGCACAACTGGAATCTTTTGGGCGTTGTCAATATGCACGCCGCCAACGAGAATCTGCCTGTGGCGCAGCATTGTTTCATTCAGGCAGTTGTGCTGGATCGAAAATCCTACACGGCCTGGACAAATCTGGGTGTGCTGTACATCAAGCTGAACGATATACGATTGGCCAACGAAGCCTTTAAGCGTGCCCAACAATCAAGTCCCGTCTATCCAAACGCCTGGATTGGACAGGCCCTGGTGGCCGAAATAATTGGTGAGCGAGAGGAGGCATTTGATCTCTTTCGACATTGCCAGCAATTCGGCTATCATCCGGAGGCAGCACTAGGCTATGCACACTGGGTGTGCCATGAACTTTCCAATCCGCATGCCAAGAAACATATCCATGCGGATGTCTATGCCTTGGATGCCATAAATTGGTTTGTTAGATTCATTTAATTTTCGCGATTTCATTAAGTGTCCTCTGTTTCGTTGTTTCTAGGTATGTTCAAAATGAGGAGGCGGAGGCCAGCGTTTCGTCGCTAACTATTCAGGGATTCTTGTGCGCACGCCTGAAACTGTACCAACAGGCAATCAATGCATATAAACGGGCCTGCAAAGAGTCGGAGCCGGGTGATGATCGTGACAAGCTATATACCAACCTGGGCTATCTTTACTTGAAGCTGGGCCAGCCTGGGCAGGCTGTTAGCGCCTTAAACACGGTGGCCCATGCCACATTTAAGCCCATTATTGGTTTGGCCTTAGCCTATTATCGCTCTGGTCAGCTGCAAGAGTCGTACTCGATCTATAACTCGGTGCTCAGCAGCGTTGTTGGACAGAATGATGAAAAGGCAGCAACTATTTTGGTGGCAATGGCCTCCATGGTCTATGCCTATCAGGGCGAAACGGATACCAAAACATTGCTATATCAATGGTAATCAAATCAAATTAGCCTAAAATCGTGGCCAAAGCTAATCAACTTGTATTTCCTTCATCATAGCATACTACTCAAAGACGTGCCAATCCAGGCATTGTTCTCGGCCTGTGCCCTGGGTGTACTGCATCGGGACAACGAGCTGATTCAGATTATCATGTCTGAGCTGAGGGCTTACCACTTCAACGAGACGCACTGCGCAGATGTGGCCTACCTCACGGCCCACAACTGCTTAATCAATGTAAGCTATGCGGATTAGTTTTAACCATATCACATATTACATTAAATTTCTATTACTCTGCTCAGGAGGGTCCCCGCCAGGCTCTTAACTACCTGCAAAAACGTGTACGCATGTTTCCTCACAACGCTGCCCTGCGCAAGATCTTTGTCAAGTTTCTGCTTGACTATTTCCATGAGGATTCCGCCTACCAACGGGCCATAGCAAATATGGCTTTGATTGCCCTCAAATTGGGCCACTCCAACATGGGCGACAGGTATGCTATTTCGCACTTACACGTATATCACTTTGTTAACTATTCTTTTTTGTTTTAGCATTAAAGCCAGCGAGCAGTCAGAAACGACCATCCTTGCCAGTCGCGCTCTGGAGCCTGTGGACAAGGAGCATTCTCTAAAACTCATTCAATGCGCCATACGCATGAATCCAATCAATCAGCAAGCAAGGCAATTGCTTGCCAGCATAACTGCGTGATAGCCCGAAAACTAATTAAAAATTAAGAACAATAAAATAGTTTATTTTCTTAATTAAAAGGAAAGAGAAAAAGTAAAAATCCTTCGAGCCGGAGTCGAACCAGCGACCTGTGGATGTCTACAAGAATTTCTCACTACAGTCCATCGCTCTACCAACTGAGCTATCGAAGGCGCGTATCAGTCGCGCACCCAATAGCATTCACTTAATGACAGCAAAAACCCAACATTTTCCGACCGAAAGGTGTTGCAAAACACCAAAAAGCTTTCTTGTGTATGTGTGTGAAAAACGCAGTATTTTTTTATTGTTAGTGTGGTGACACTGGCCGCCATTCTTTCTGGTCGGGGTTGATGCAAAACCATAGTGAAATAAAAGCAGTAAAATGTGTATTAAATAGTGAAAAATATCAATGAAAGCAACATGCAAATGTAGTTAAAAAGTGTTAATACGCTGCCTGCCTTGTTAGTTAGAGAAATTCGTGTGAAACGTTTTGCAAAGCTTTGCTGCAACCAGTGCATCAGAGGGAACGGCGTCTACTTGCAGCAGCGACAGCGACTCCGACTCCACCCTGCGCACCGCTTGCACCGAAATACCTATGTATGTGCTGCACACACATTCAAACGAAACACATATGCACATGTATATATACATGAACAAAAAAAACCTGCTGCCGTCGGCCGTAATTACAGTTAGACACTAAAATAGCAACACGGTCAGTTAATTAGGGTACAAAGCGCGAGTTCAGGTGGCGACGGCGACGGCGACAGCGACTGGAACGACGCCCACGCACGCTTCCAATTGCAATTTTGCAATGGAAAACGAATCCGTCAAATCGGAACACAGTGGACGCTCGCGACGCTCTCGCAATCACAATAACAACAGCAGCAGCGCCGGCGGCGGCGGTGGAGGAGGAGGTAACGTTGGTGGAGGTGGCGGTGGCGGTGGCACCGTAAATAACGGATATCACAGGGATCGTTCGCGTCACTCGCATCGCAGCACCCACTCATCCAAGTCGGGCAAGGGACGCGGCGACATGGCGCCCTATCAGACCAGTGTAAATATGACGGGTAAGCAGACGCAGAGGGGGGGGGCCTGTTCTGGATACCGGAACAATCCACGGATTCAAAATGGATTTCGTTTGAATCTAGAGAACGGGTCCCAAATATGCCTTAGTAACAACTCACAGGTAAATCCCTTTCAGGCGACGAGTCACGTGACGGCCAGGAGGTGATCGAAGTGCAAATTCTGCCGCAAGATGAGAACTGGGGTGAGAATACGACTGCCGTGACGGGCAACACATCGGAGCAGAGCATATCCATGGAGGACATCAATAATATGTGGCATCGCGAGAACGACAAGGGCTTCGGCTTTGCCTGTCGACGCTACGTGGAGTCCACATTCTATTTTCTGCTCGGCTGTGCCGCATTCTTCTCACCCGTTGCCATGGTTGTGATGCCGTACATTGGCTTCTTTCCATCGGCCTTCGATCATCCGGAATTGACGCAAACGGTGCGCACCCAGCTGCTCGCCTGCAGCGAGCAGTGCAAGGGACAACTGGTCTCGCTGGCCGCCCGCCTCCTGCTGCTGGCCATCGGCCTGTGGGCTCTGTTTATGCGCCGCACAACGGCCAGCATGCCGCGCATCTTTCTCTATCGCGCCATTGTACTGCTGCTGGTCACCATTTGCACCTTCGCTTATTGGCTCTTCTACATTGTTCAGGTCACGAACGGCGCCAAGATTGTGGTCGAAACCGGCGGCGATGCTGTTGACTATAAATCGCTCGTAGGCTATGCCACAAACTTTGTGGACACGCTGCTCTTTATACACTATGTGGCCGTGGTGCTGCTGGAGCTGCGCCATCAGCAGCCGTGCTACTATATCAAGATCATACGCTCGCCGGACGGCGTCTCGCGCTCCTATATGCTGGGCCAGCTGAGCATACAGCGCGCCGCAGTCTGGGTGCTGCAGCACTACTATGTTGACTTTCCCATCTTCAATCCGTATCTGGAACGCATACCCATTTCCATATCGAAGTCGCAGCGCAACAAAATCTCAAATAGCTTCAAGTATTACGAAGTGGACGGCGTCAGCAACTCGCAGCAGCAGAGTCAGAGTCGCGCCGTGCTGGCGGCGAATGCGCGTCGCCGGGACTCCTCGCACAATGAACGCTTCTACGAGGAGCACGAGTACGAGCGTCGCGTCAAGAAGCGACGTGCACGTCTCATTACCGCCGCCGAGGAGGCCTTCACCCATATCAAGCGCATACACAACGAGCCAGCGCCAGCGTTGCCGCTGGATCCGCAGGAGGCGGCGCAGGCCGTATTTCCATCGATGGCCCGGGCATTGCAGAAATATTTGCGTGTCACGCGACAGCAGCCGCGGCATACATTCGAGAGCATACTGAAGCATCTGGCGCACTGCCTGAAGCACGATCTGTCGCCGCGCGCCTTTCTCGAGCCCTATCTGACCGAGTCGCCGGTGATGCAGAGCGAAAAGGAGCGCCGCTGGGTGCAATCGTGGTCGCTGATCTGCGATGATATCGTCTCGCGACCCATTGGCAACGAATGCACCTTCCAGCTGATACAGAACGATGTCTCGCTGATGGTCACCGTGCACAAGCTGCCGCATTTCAATTTGGCCGAGGAGGTGGTCGATCCCAAGAGCAACAAATTTGTGCTCAAGCTCAACTCGGAGACGTCCGTATGACAGCATCATCAGAGAACGCCGCCGCCCATGGTCACGCCCACGCACAGCAATCAAACGCAATCCTCGTATTTGCATGTCTTTGTCTGAGAAGCTACCTAAGTGGGATTTTAAAGGTTTTTATAAATTCTACCTTATTTTGGTCCGATCGAAAATAGAGGCAGAAACAAACATGAGCCGGCCAACGCCGGGCAATGCTCGCTAGTATTTTATATGATTAGATTAAACTTTTAAGCAGCTGCTCCTGCTCCTAAAACCCATAGAGGGATGAACCTATTTTAATTCGGAGTTTTTCCTTAAGATTCATTTCGAAAAACTCACTTCAGGAGTTGACCATGCTCAAGCCCAGTGAAATACATAAAAATATCCTAAGCTAACGCACACATATCACACGTCCCTTGAAAATGACAAAATACAAAACTGACTTACAAGTTCCCAAAGTATTAATCTTAGGTAATCGAAAGAACGTAAAACTCAAAACAACTTTCGAATGCAGCTTCAATTTGTGTACTGCCCTTTTCGTTTATTTTATAGAGAATATCAGCTAAGTTAATATAAAATCGATTCCCATTTTGGCCAGCTGTAAGGTTGTGGGTCTAAGGACTTGCGCCAAGAGTGTGTCCCAGAATTGGTATGCAACACTCTGGGCGCGATTCGGCCAAGATTTTTCTAAGGTTTTTGCAACTCAAACCCAAACTACTGCGACTCGACATATCTATAGAGATATAGCAGATATATATATAGAGAGAGAGAGAGAGCTCTCCTGTAACTCGAATGTAACTTGTGACAAATACATAACTTAAGCAAGAGACTGCATTAATGCATTTTATATACACTCAAATCTCCGACTTATATATATATATATATTTGTACTAACTACCTAATCGGTGCATAGCAACAGACTAGAGCACACACTAGGCACGAAAATTGATAAGCTAAAGTAAACATTTTATTATAAATGATAATGATAAGTACTTACATACCCCCTACATACATCTATATATATATATATATATATATTTATTGTAGCGACAACTTTGCCTAGTTTTGCCCACTTTTTATTTCATTTTCTAGCCAAATGCTTTTTACCAGCACCCTTTTTTTTACTCGCTCGATCCATGTGAAGCTATTTATGGCCTATTTATAGATTAACGCACACTCCAGCTGTATTAATAAACGGGAAATAAATCTCTGCGACGGCTTTTGTTCAAATTAATTGTTTACATAAACAAGCATTTCTTGAGAGTTTGAGTCGCATCTGTATCTGTTCGTATGCGTCATGGATGTGTATTATGTGACAAGGGCTATCGAAATCCGTTCAATATGCAAGTGACGCAGAGAGAGTCGAGTTTTTAACGATTGCCCACTCAAGTCAATTATGCGTGATAAGGCTTGAGGCCTGAGACAAGAGCAAGCAGACCGAAGATTGTATACCCTATCTTCTATACATCCCAAGGGATATACATTTTATTTATGTCCAATAGGCTATACAAGCTTCGGCCTGCTGATTCTTCTCTAAAGCCTTCGGGCTTACAATTTTCAAGCGAGTCGATTTGTTTGAGCGTCGAGCTAGCCGGCAAGAAGTCGCCGGCTCAAATTTAGCAAAAAAAAAAACTTCATTTACGAGCGTTAAAAGAGTTTACCTCAAACAAATATATATTCATATGAGCAAAGGTAATTCGTTTTATGACACAATCGTAATACCCTCCGGCAGGGTATAAAGTAGGAAATCTGATTTCAATTTATGATAGTTTGAATTGGTTTCGAATAGAGATTGATTCGATTTGTGTTTGTGCTAGTTGGAAATGTTTATTATGCATAAATATTGTGCTTATATATGGTACTATATTTAAACATGTCTATTAGCATTTGCTTTAGTATAGTATAAATATCAGTTAGTGACTAAATGCAACAGCTACATAAATGTGTATTTGGTTTTGTAGAGTGTTCCAAGTGCTGCTCCTCTGAAGACAACTGGGAGAGAGGGAGAGAGGGAGAATTCATACACAAGCGTATTGAATGTGCGTAGTCAAATTCGGTTTATATAATTAAAGGGTATTCATTCAGTCGGCGGACTTGCGCTGCAGCTGATTCTTTTCGGGCTCGTAGAACTCATTGACAAGCGCCTCTTCCATGTCTTGGAGCGTTTGGGTGAGCTGCTCCCAGCCCTTATCGGCCGGTTTGCCGCACATCTCGGCATAGTATTTCATTTTGGGCTCCGTGCCGCTGGTGCGCAGCGTGATAACCACGCCGTTCTTGAACGTAAACGTTATCATCTGGGAGCTGGAGCTGACCGGCAGCGTGGCCTTCTTGTCCGCCGCGCTGCTGTCATAGCCCGTGGTCAGGTCGCGCACGTGCTCGATTTCGTATTTGCCATTGAGTATGCTCGGCGGATAGGTGTTCGCCTGGCCATTGTTGAATGTGCGCAGCCGGTTGAAGATCTGTTTGATCTTTAGCTGATCGGAGCAGATGACATAGGAACAGATGCTCGTGTGGTAGCCGTAGATCTTGTATATCTCCGACAATTTCTGTTGCAGTGTCATGCCCTTCTCGTGGTGCAAATAACGTGCCATTGTGGCGACATGGGCCGCAGCGCTGACGCCATCCTTGTCGGGCACATTTGTGGAGATCATAAAGCCGATGGCCTCCTCGAAGGCAAACAGTACCGTTCTGCCAGCCAGCTCCGCCTCGATGGCCTTGTTGGCCATCCATTTGAAGCCCGTCAGAGTTTCGTAGAAGATGAAACCCTCAATGGCCGCCATTGATTTCAATATCTTCGAGCTGACCGTGCTGGCAATCATCACGCACTTGGACATATCTGCATTTGGATGGCGCATCTTATGCATCTCTAGTGCCCACCAGCCGAGCAATGCGCCCAGTTCATTGCCGTTGAATAGCTTAAACTTCGTATTGCTTTCATCAAATTCGGCAACTGCCAAACGATCGGCATCCGGATCGTTGGCCAATATGATATTACATTTCTGGTCCGTTGCTGTTTTAATGGCCAGATCCAGGGATGTCTTGCCCTCCTCTGGATTGGGCATAGGGGTCGTTGGGAATTCCGGATCGGGCTCAACCTGCTGAACAACAGGCACAACTGGCCGCAGATTAACCTGCTCAATGGCCTTCGCCACATACGCGTAGCCAATGCCATGCATGGCCGTGTACGCGAAGCTCAAATCACACGTCGCATTGGCTTTTAAAAGTGAGTCCGGAATTGTCTTTAGCAAAGCATCGTAATAGGCAGGCTCGACCTGTTCGTAGGGATCGCTGAGGTACGCGTTGGACCACAAGGTTGCCTCGTCGATTGCCCAATAATTCTCCGCTGGTTCCAGATTTTTAAGTATGGCCTTGTGTATGCCCGCATCGTGCGGGGAAATAATCTGGGCGCCGTTCGTCCAATAAACCTGCAAATAATCTATGCATAAACCTTCAAACGACTCGAATTGAGTGCAGTTTCCATACCTTGTAGCCGTTGTCCTTCTTGGGATTGTGCGATGCAGTCACCTGCACGCCCGCCAAACAGTTCAGCTTCTTGATGGCGAATGGCACAAAGGGCGTGGCCGCGTAACGCTTAAATAGATAAACGCGAAAGTTGTTCTTCAAGAAGACAAGGGCCGACAATTCGGCAAAACGCTTGCTATTATGTCGCGCATCGTAGCCAAAGACAATGCCACGTTTCGACCAGGACGACTTGTCCGCATACTGCTCCTTTAGATAAGCACAGAGTCCTTGGGCGGTTCTGGGGGGAAAACCGAAAAAAATAAATCACTTGTAATCGGAGACTTGCTCTTCAATGGAAACTCACTGCACAACAACCAAGTCGTTCATGGAATCGAAACCCGCTCGCATTTCAGCACGTAGCCCGGCCGTGCCGAATGCAATCCGGTTGAGGAGACGCAACTTGAGCCTGTCGAAAGATTGCACTTGGATTATTTGTTTATATTGAGCATATGCATTACGTACGTGCCCCAATCTTTGGCCTCGATCAGCTTTAAAATTTCTTTCTTCGTTTTCAAATTTCCATCCCATTTTACCCACTTCTCTATGAGATCATCCAATTCCGTTTCGCCTGAGAGCGTCATGTTTTTAAGTTCATTTATCTCCTGGGCCATTGGGAACTATGTTGAAAAATCTAGAAAAATATTAAAAAAAAAAACGCTAGAAGCATTAAAAATGTTTATTATTATTAGAGCATATCCTTAAAAACAACTAGCAAACGTTTTAAAGAGAACTTCCTCAACTTATCCTGTACTCGAACCAGGATTCCTCTCACTAGTTCACTGAGACAACTCTTCTATCTAGGACATGCACCCTGTATTTATTCCAGTTTTTTTTTTAGTACGTTACAAATAAGTACAAAATTCCTACGGGACACCGCAAGACACAGCAAGGACGTGCATTTAGCAACGTTAAAAGAAAAAACATAATTCTTTAACCACACACACACACACACACACACACGCACGCACGCACATATATTAAAGAAGAGATGAGTAATTGCAGCCGTCGTCCGATGTTTTTCTCTCTTAATTGATGGCAACAGCAGCTGTTAACGACACACACCCCTATCTATAGTGCCAAATCACATTGAATGTACGCACATATGCTTATACGTATTTATTTATGAATTGCGGCTTATCTCACCCGGTAGTTGGTTTTTTAATGAAGACCCCGCACGAAGCCTCGAACTTGCTAGGGAACAACAACAAATCGCACTAATGAGACCGTGAATTTCAAACCAGCAAATCGTAAAAAGTACAAATTAATCCATAAAATACCAACTGGATATTGAAAAAATACCATCTTAACTAAAAGTCGCAAAACAAATGTTTATTTTTAAATTTGCAAAAGTAATTTATTTTTTGGCAGATTTTATAGTTTTTTGTGTGAGCTTTTAATTATAATTCTTATATATTTGGTTTTTAAATTATTATTTAAATACCAACTGAGATCTAGTTCAGTTCACGGAACCGCTGTATTTAGTTCATTGAAGTTTTGCCATAGAACGCCGAAGAAAAAAAAAAACAACTACAACACGCGGAGAAAACAGCTTAAAATATTTAAGAAAAATATCAATAAATTCGTAATTGTTAGTCAAAAAGTAGAGAAAATGGCTGATGTGCTAGATATCGACAATGCCGAAGAGTTTGAAGTGGATGAGGATGGCGACCGTAAGTATTTGCCAAGCCGGCTAATAATGCTGCTCTAATAACTCACACCCACACACACACACACCTACCCACACGCACACGCATAGAGGGCATTGTGCGCTTAAAGGAAAAGGCCAAGCACCGCAAGGGACGCGGTTTCGGCAGCGACAGCAACACACGCGAGGCAATACACAGTTATGAGAGGGTGCGGAATGAGGACGACGACGAACTGGAGCCAGGGCCGCAGCGTTCGGTCGAGGGCTGGATATTGTTTGTCACCTCCATACACGAGGAGGCGCAGGAGGATGAAATCCAGGAGAAGTTTTGCGATTATGGCGAGATCAAGAACATTCACTTGAACCTGGATCGGCGCACAGGCTTCTCCAAGGGCTACGCACTGGTCGAGTATGAGACGCACAAGCAGGCGCTTGCCGCCAAGGAGGCGCTCCATGGCGCCGATATAATGGGCCAAACGATTCAAGTGGATTGGTGCTTCGTGAAGGGACCGAAGCGCGTCAAGAAATCGGAAAAGCGTCGCAGATAGGAAATTTGAATATATATCTAACTCTTAAACTAGCATAAAACCAACGAATACAAATGGAAAATAAATTTTATTGCAGTGGCAATGCGAAAGGCGGGTTTGCCCGCGGCTACTTCATCTTCTTCTGGTGCAGCAAGTGCTTGCGCATGGCCAGCTGCTTGTCGCGGAAACTCTTCTTGACCTTGGAGCGCGCCTTGTGCCGCAGCATGCCAAAGTTCTTCGTCTTGCGCTTCTCCCGATTCGTCTTGGAGCAGTTCTCATTGACACGTCCGTCCTTCCAGCCGAAACGCTCGCGATCCTGACGACCCGCCTGCACCGTCTCGAGGCGCGACTCCTTGTCGTGCTTGCGCTTCTTGTAGATCATCTCAATGCTGTTCAGCTTGACAAACTCGGCGCGATCCTGCTCCAAGGGCCGCTTGCGGGCACTTGTTACCGTCTTCTTCAGATTGGCGGCATTGATGCGCTTGAAGTCCTCGTCCGTGAAGATGCGCGTCAGCGCCAATTCCTGCGCAGCTTCCTTCTGGTTAAGCAACTTTATGTTTGCCTTCTCCTTTTTGTTCGCCTTGGGCGACGTTTCGTCGCCCTCGCTTGCAACGCCCTCATCAGACTCCTCTGCATCGACGTCCTCCTCTGCGTCATTGTCGTCGTCATCATCCACTTCGTCCTCTTCACTGTCACTGCCTTCCTCCTCCTCGTCATCATCGTCGCCACTTTGCGCTGGACCCTCGCCATCGCTGTGCGCCACGTTCACCCACTCGCCATCATTGGAGTCCGTGTCATCGTCATCGCTGCCTATGTCTATGGTCTTAGAATTCTTGAGCAGAGCCTCGGCACCAAGCACCGTATCCTGGACATCGCGTTCGCCATAGGCGCGAACCTTGCGCTCCGCCTGCGCCTCTGTCTGGCGACCGCGATCCTTTTTGTGTAGCAGCTTTGGCAGCTGTTCGCGATAGAGCGTGATGAGTGAGCGTGCGGCCATCATTACAGACTTCTCCTTGTACGTCTTATACATGGCCAGATCCTGCAGCAGATCCTCGCCCATGGCCAGCGGACAGCGCATGCATATTTCGCGCGTGGCATTCAAGCCAATGGCCATGACATCGCTCGAGTTGCGTTCCGTGATGAAATTATTCGCAATGGTCTTCAGTATGGGCTCGATGATGTCACCGGGCACCAGCTCGTGGGATGCCTGCGCCGCGAACTGCAGAACGCGCGTCACCTGGCGCTGATGCGGCTGCATGAAGCGCGTGATATACGGATAAAAGCCGAAGAGGAACAGCTCGTGTATGCCAATCAGACGGGAGATGACGTCCAGATGCATTAACTTGACCTCGAAGCGCTCGTTGCTCGACTGCAGCTGCTTGAACAGACCCTCGGCCATGCCCTGCGGATTGTGGATCAGGTGGATGGCCGAGAAATTGAAGGCGGGCGCGTTCTTCTTTTTCTTTTGCGCCTTCACGGCCTGCTTCTTGATCTGCTGCAGCTGCTTCTGGCGCTTCTTGGTCTTCTTGTTGACACGATTCGCCATGAGCGCGCCCTTCAGGTCCACCTCGGGCTCGCTGTCCGAATCGGTGGCAGCTTCATCCTCATCGTCGTGGCCCAGAAAGAATTTCAGCGATGTGACCAGCACCTAAAATGGCATAGATATGGATTACAGAGAAGCAAGTTTGACTTTGCCACAAACCTTGGTGATGGGCGAGAAGCAGCCGACGCTGGCGATGACATTAACCGACTTGGCATCGTTCCAGATGTTCTTCTTGTAGAGCTCGATCATAATGTCGGCCGACATTTTGGCAGCCTTTGGATTGGCGTCCTTCAGCATGCCGTACATGAAATTCTGCAGGCTCTGTAAAGATAATTTTTAGTGATAAAATGTGGAGCAAGTGCAGCAACAGGTGGCCCCCACTTACCGAATTGAGCTTCATGTCCTTGTGCTTGGCATTCATGTTCTTGATGTCGTTGACAATGTGCGTCTGCAAGAACGTGCGCAGATTTTTGTCCTGGCAGCGCAGCAGCTGGAAGAACAGCTCCAGTATGTCCAAGGCAGGGACAAGATTTTTATTGCGCAGCAGAATTAAAGCCTTGACAAAACAATTTCGCATTGCTGGATCCAGGACGGTGGCGCTGCTTCTCAGCAGATCGGTCAGGTGCTTGGGAAACTGCTGGCACACGTGCGGATAGCATTGTGCCACCTGGGCAATAAACATTATGATCTCGTCCAGCGATTTGTTTTCCTCGCCCGGATTCAGGGCGAAGATCTCGAGCAGACTTAGGAAATGCTCGTATTGTGTGTGAAACTCATCGCTGTAGGATTCGGGATCACGTTTGATGAGATTTTGCAACTGCGGAAGATTATCCGGCAGTTGATTGTTGGGTCGCACCATAGTAAGACGTAAATTTTACGTCTTGAAAGTGCGTTCAACAATTAATAAAAGAATGCACGTGTCTTCTTCTTCTTCTTACTGCATGAACAGTGCTGCCACCCTGTTTCGTTTGACGCGTTCCCACTTGAAAAACATTGTGCAAACAGCTGATTGAATGTTAAGTCAATAATTTCATATATAATTTGCAAATATGATAAGGTTTAGAGAGGGCAATTTAAATTCAAACATTGCGACACATATATATATCTTGTTGTTTTCGATAAAATCTTCAAAACGCGGCTGCAGTGACAACGTTTTCCAACACAGCAGCAAAGGAAGTAATAACAAAAAAAAAAGGATTTAAAGTTTCTAAAGTTGCTTTAAAGCACGCAAATGCTTATCTCGATAGTAGAAAAAGAAAGGGCACATATTATGACAAAAGTTTGGTTTTATTTCAAAAATGATAACTTGCTCTGTTATCGGAACCAGTGAAAACAGCTCGTTTTTTGCTATCGTTTTCCAACACAGTTGCCGCAGTAGAATTAATTTTTTCTGCAAGATGATGGACCTGCAGTCCAACGACGACATCGATTTAGAGGATGGAGAGGTAAATAAGCTCACCAAATAGCTACATAACAGATAGTCAATAATGCGTACCGCACTCCAGTTGTCAGCTAGCGGCGACGATGAAATCTATACGCCGCTGCAGCGACCGGCACCGGCGCCCACAAACGCACCTGCTGCTGCTGCTGTTGCAATGGGCGCCGCGGAGAGCGTTGCAAGTCCGCTTGCCACATGCCATCAGATACAAAGTGCCCTCGACGATGAGTCGCAGTCGAACAGCGAATCCTCATCGGGCGAATCCTCTGAGGAGGGCTGCATCAAGAAGCTGCGCACCGACTCTCTTTCGTCGGGCAAAAAGCGTAAAAAGTGCATCAGACGCACGGTCATGGTACGTGTGCCGCCGCCGCCAGAGACCACGGACGCTGAGCCAAATCGGGCGCGTTTCAAGAAATACAACATCTGGACGGCCGCCCTGCAGGAGGAGGCGCTCAGCGAGAATATGCGCGGCTGCGATGTCACGCGCAACAGCAGCGATCGCAACGTTGAGAACTATGATTTCTCGCTGAGATACCGGCTCAATGGGGAGAACAACCTGAAGCGTCGTCTGTCCAATTCCTCGGATGAGGGCAGCTCACATCCAGCCCATAAGAGGGGACGTCAGTCCGCACGGCCGGACATGGAGGGTCAGCGCGAGCGGCATCATGTAAAAAACCGTCTGGGCCAGCGCTCACGCTCGCGACGTGGTCATTCGTCCACGAGCGGCTCGTCGGACAACTCGAGCGAGCCGCGTCATATACTCGATCTGAACGATACGTCCGGGCGCGATCCGAGCGATGTGGCCAGAGAAATGGCCAACAAGCTTTACGAGGAGAAGGACGAACTCTTAGGTGGGCGACCAGAACTGACCACGAAAGATCGTATTCTAATTTAAGAATTATGTTTTGCAGTGCGCGTTATCCAGGTGCTTGGCATAGATGTGCCGCTCGAGCTCTACAAAGAAACCCAGCGCATCGAAGCCGACGGCGGCATGATGATCAACGTGAGTTAATTTCCCAATCCAATCTTAACTAAATGATATTCATATTATTTTCATTTTTAGAATGGCAGACGTCGACGTACTCCGGGTGGCGTATTTCTGTTTCTGCTCAAGCATCATGATAAAATAACGCCAGCGCAGCAAAAGTCAATTTTTAGCGAGGATCGCCAAAATGCGAATAAATCTCGCAAGCAGATCGAGACGTTGATACGCGATCGCAAGGTCGAGGAGTTGAAGAAACGTTTGAGCGAAAAGAGCACCGAATTGCCTTCATTAAATACGCGCAAGGAACTCTATATGCAAGGCGCTGAGTCAATTGCACAGACTCTGCCTGGCAATTGTATGTACAAAATATGCATATGGTGAAATATGAGAAATTCATTTAAAAACTTCCTTTTTTCTCATAGTATCCAATCCGCCACCTTCGCCTGTTGGCCAGGAACAGAGCAGTCCAGAATATAAGACACACGAGATAAATATTAATGTCGTGGACAATGCCGATCTGCCCTCGACTTCGAAAGCTGCCTCGGCAGCAGGCCTTAAGGAGTTGATCAGCTATGACGATGATATTCTGGATGTTAGTTGTGGCAAAATGGATCTATTTTAAACGAGAAAGGAACGCATAGCGTTATCAAGCAGTCGGCCATTTGTATGTATATATTGAATAATATATATATATATATATATATGTGAGTGGCGCGTAAATTTTACATCTATATAGTTAGAAACATATTTGTACATCTAAATAAATGCATAGCTATTACGGTTTTTTTTTGTAAGCGTACAATGTCGGCAGTTTAAAATTGGCGCCCAAACTGACCACAGGTCATCGATGTAAATGTTATCGATACTTTCGTGAAGTGCATAATGCAGCTATCGAAACACGACGAATCGTTATCGGGCCAATAGGCATAGACGAGCAGATGATTTCCAAATTTCTAAATTTAATTGTTGCAACGTAGCAAAAGGTAAATATCGCAACTATAAATAAATGTATAAATATAGAAAGGGCATGCTATGCTAATTTGAGCGTGTAAACAACAAGAATGACAACAACCTGTGAATGTGCGCCGAGTGTTGAGCAAAACAAAACGCAGCTCGTTGAAATTGTGGCCAAATCGTACGCATACGAGCTGCTCGAGGATGTGCACCTGGCACTGCCACCGCCCGACAACAGGACAGGTGAGAGCATTTATACGCGCGGCCACTTCAAGTATTTCCACTACGGCTGCGATGGCCACTCGGACGCGGGCTGGGGCTGCGGCTATCGCACTCTGCAAACGGCCATTTCTTGGATCATAAACAGGCGCAACGAAGCGGAGCGGAACGTGCCCTCGATACGGGAGATTCAACGCATGCTGGTCAGCATTGGGGACAAGCCGTCCAGTTTTGTTGGCTCACGCGATTGGATTGGCACAATGGAGGAGTTTTATGTGATTGATGCCATGTTTGAGATACCCTGTAAATTTGTGCACGTGCAGCAATTGAACAGCGAGCAGCTCTTCACCCAAATACGTGCTTATTTTGAGGATTATGGCGGTCTTATAGCCATGGGTGGATTAAGCGACATGGCCTCCAAGGCCATTGCGGGCATACATCTCAGCCCATTGGCGGGCGTCTCGCTGCTGATTGTGGTGAGTTTCAGAAATTGACCTCAGCTTGATCTGGGCGACAGCTAACATTTACTCTTCTGACCCCATAGGATCCGCACTTTTCGGGCGTGCCCAGCTCCAAGCTGCAGCTAATTGACAAGGGCTACGTGCGCTGGATGCACATAACGGAGTTCGAAAAGAGCGCGTACAATCTCTGCTTTATACTGCAAAAATAAGCTAAAAGAGATTGTGAAGGGCAACAGAAACAGTGTTGCCAATTTAACTAGAGTGGCCAGAGCAATAAAATATGAATGTACACAACACTATACGAGCATTGTTTGCAGTGTTGTCAACGCAGCTCTTTTCAGAGGTAGTCGGAGACAGTTAAAATGTTAAATAGATTTTGCCTATAATTTAATTCGATACCTTTGCTTTATAAATATGGTAAACGGAAAACAAATAATTATTCGTTAAAGCTGTAGCTTAGCTACAAATTCAGCGGAAATACTGCTAAAATGTCAGCACTAATCAAATTATCTATGCAGAGAGTTTTTACAGTTATGTTTTCTCTTCTCTTTTAGCGCGCGTTATGGCCAGGAATCGAGTCGATTGATAAGCGCATATTTAACAGTTATTCCATGACGATGGCGCTGATAAGCCAGCGACACTGAACGTTTACAAATTAATTAACCAAACGACGGCGCAAAGCCTAAAAACGAACAAACAGCAAACGTAAAGCGGATCGAAGAAAATTGGAGCAGCTGCTGCCCCCCACACCCCGGCCTGGATATGCTGCAGCGTGTACTGTGGAGCGCCTTGGGCGCCATGGCGCTCTTCTATGCCCTGGTCCGCTTCAGCCTGGGCTATTGGAAGCGGCGGGGCATACTGCACGCCAAGCCTAAGTTTCTGTGGGGCAACCTGAAAGATGTGCTGGCCGGCAAGCGGCATGTGCAACAGGTGCTGCACTGCATCTACGAGAGCTACAAGGGACGTGCACCCTTCATTGGCTGCTATGCGCTGATCAAACCGTTTGTCCTGGTGCTGGATCTGGAGCTGGTGCGTCATATACTGGACAGCGATGCGGGCTACTTCACCAGCCGTGGTCTCTATCACAATGTGTCCGGCGAGCCGTTGTCCGGCAATCTGCTGCAGCTGGACGGGCACAGTTGGCGCTGGCTGCACGCCCAATCCCGCACGGTCTTCACGGCGAGCAATCTGCAAAAGCTGCTGCCGCGACTGCTGCAAGTCAGCAATAGGCTGCAGCGCGGCCTGGGCGAGGCACATCTCCAGCAACTGAACGTGAGCCAATTGGTGGATAGCTACAATGTGCAGGCCATTGCCACGCTCGCCTACGGCCTGAATCCCCACGAGCTGCCGCCGGAGTTTGGCCAGATGACGCGCAGCTATTGGAGCAACTGGAGTCTGTGGCGTGCCTATTTGGCGCTGGAGCTGCCGCTCCTGGCGCGTCTGCTGCGGCACAAAAGCTACGCGCAGCTGGCCACGGACTACTTCTTCAAGCTTGTGCTGGAGCAACTGCAGCAGCAGCGCCGTAGGGATCGACAGCCGCTGCAGAGCTTTCTGCAATTGTACTCCGCCACGGAAGAGACCTTGACGGATGCACAGATTGCCGCACAGGCATTTGGTTTCGTGCTGGCTGGGCTGCAGCCGCTGAACGCCAGCCTGGCCTTCTGCCTCTATGAGCTGGCGCTGCATCCGGAGCTGCAGCAGCGCGTACGTGCAGAGATTAGGGCAATGCTGCAGCGGCATGAGGGAGCACTGACCGCGGAAGGCCTGCAGCAGCTGACCTACACGAAGCAGGTGCTGAATGGTGCGTATGCGGGGGAGACTCCCAACTGGGGCCAACTCATCAGCTTAATCCCAACTTACAGAAACGCTTCGCCTGCACACGCCGTATCCGTTTTTGCTGCGCCGCGCTACCAGGGAATTCGAGCTGCCCAAGTCCGTGTTTGTCATAGCCCGTGGCAACAATGTGCTTATACCCATCGCAGCTATACATCGTGATCCGGCCATCTATCCGGAACCCGAACGCTTCGATCCGGATCGCTTTGAGGCGGCGGCAGTGCATGCACGGACGTCTATATCATTTCTGCCCTTTGGCGAGGGATTGCGCGGCTGCATGGCCAAGCAGCTAGCCCAGCAGCAGCTCCTGGTCGGCCTGGTCGCTCTGCTGCAGCAGCACAGCTATGCGCCCTGTGCGGAGACCCAGATACCCATCCAATATGACAATCGCAAATTGTTGCTAATGCCCAAAACGGATATCAAACTGAGCGTGGAGCGGTTGGATAGCTAAGAGGCAGACGGGGTTTCGGCTTCGCTTTATAATTATAGTTTGTTGCTTTTGTGTGTACAAAACGCTTTGTTTTTTTTTATATATTTTTGTATTTGCGCTAGACTTGTGTGATAATGCTGACGTATACCTTAAATGATTAGATGTAAGCCTGTGGGGTTGACCTGCAACAGTAACAAAAGAATGAACAAATAAATACCTTAATTGTTGTCACGTAATAATACAGAGTGTTAAAGTGTAATTAAGTTATTTAATTTGTTCATTTCTAGTTTTAAATTTAACCACCGATCGACGCAGTCACGTGAAGTTGGCTGCGCACGCAAATTTGAGCTGCTAGCAATCGATGTATCGTATAGAATGCGTGCCCATTTAGCGCTGTCCAACACTGCAATGTTAATCGGCAGTCAGAAGCAAAAACAACGCCGAGCGAGTCAGACGTGCGGCAAACGGTGCGCGCAATTTAAAGTGTAATTTGTTAAATAATTAAAAGCTATTTGATAACATAATGCACGAATATGTCGCCACTCGTGCGCGTGAATAAAACAGCGTTTGTGTAAACGAATTGGATTGATTGGGCGTTTCGGTAAATGCACTTCCAGCAGCTCGGGCTGTTGTTTTTTTTTTCTATTTCTACGCGAAGTGTGCGTCCAATTGAATTAAATAACGAAAATGCAAAGCGTAACTGACAGGAGCAGCATTGAAATCGAAACGGCGGCAGGCTAAATTGAAAGTAAAGTACGCAAAAAAATTAACTGTTAAACGGCGAAGGCAACGGCACTTTACTGTTGTTTGCTTAGGATAGCAGAAAACAGTGCAAAAATAGAAAAAGAGGAAAGGAAGAATATAGTAAAAAAAACAAGCCGAAAAGTGTGTACATATTTAAATTTTTAGTGAATAATTTTATGCAACACGCATGCACACGTCTGTCTCTCTGTGTGTGTGTGTGTGCTTGTCTGTGATTGTGTTTGTGTGCGTTTGTGTACAACAAGAATAACAACAAAAACTGTGCAAGGATCAACGACAACGCCGCCGTCGCAGTCGCCGTCAGGGTAGTTTGTTTGAACAAAGCCCAAAGCCAAACGAGGAGACGGGTGGAGAGAGACGCGTGCTCTCTTCTCTTTTGTGCGCTTTTGCCGCCTGGAATGTGCTGCAGCCCAACAAACGAAAACAACTGCAAGAGCAATTGCAGGAACAACAACGACAGCGGGCGACCGTAACGAGCACACACTCTCAGTTACACACACACACACACACACACACTCAGACCGGGTGCCGGCTGAAAGGGGGAGGAAACGCTGTTTAATTGTTTGCAGGATTCTTTTGAAGCGCCCGCTGCTGTTGGTGCTGCTGCTGCAGCTGGAAGTTGACTGCATTTGGGCAAATAGATTCAAGAACCGTGAGTATCCTTCAAATGTGCTGCTTCTTACACTTGCTATTGTTCTTGCCGCGTTTCTCACCCTCCTTCATTCATCCTCCCTCTCACGGTCCCTCTTACGTTCGAGTGTGCTAATTATGAAAATGTAATTAGTTTAAGTGTTGTACAATAACACAAAAGCTGACAGACAACAGCTTCCAGCTTCAAATAAGCACAGATTCCAAGGTCTTCCAGTGCCAATTCCAGTCAGCGCAAGCCATGAAAACTCCTTTCATTGCCAGCCAACAACAACAGTAACAGCTACAGCAACATTAACAGAAACAACAAGAACAGTAATTTTGTGCTCCCTTTTTGAAGTTGTCGCGCTATTTGCGCAAGTGCAGGCACTCGCCATCAGATGTGCGCGCGTGTCGTGACACGAATTCATCGTGCGTGCACGTACACATGACAGCATCAATTTATGGCTGATAAAAATGTACTTAATAAAATTACAAAATTATTATAAGTGAATGTTCACTTTTTTATAGCTGTCCGAAATTTAACAAATTTAGTTTAATGCTGCATACTTTGCATATTTGTCATTTGCTGTCACAGCGCACAATTTGCCGCTGGCTCATCTCTAATGCTGCCCTTCCTGCCGCTTCCCCTGCATCTATTGCTGTTTGTTGTGTTTGTTTTGCACCGTTTTGCATCATTTTTAGCACAAACATTTTGCATTATGTGTGGGCTACTTATTAACTTTTGTTGTTGTTGCTTTCTTTTATTTTTTTTGTTTTGGTTTTATCGCTGGGGAGCAACAACAACTATGTTGGGGGAATAATCATAACGCGTTGGCGGGCCCCCCTCCACAGCATCCGGAGGGGTTCATTGACTTTGTTTAGCTATTATATTCGTATCCAAATCCAATCAGTTTTTCTAGGCTTCCATTTTTTGTTGAGTTTTTTTTTCTTTGTTTTGGTTGTTCACCTTTTTTGGGGGTTAAATAATTATGTGAAATATGGGGTTGGTTTTTGTTGTTGTCGTTATTCTCCAACTGGTTTTCATGATGTCTCCATTTTGCAGTGGAAATCGCAGCGTGTGTGCCGTAATCAGAGCAGGAACCGGAGCAGCACGTTGCCACCAGTCGACGCAAATGTCTAACTGTCTAACTGTAAATGTTGTTTAATTAGAATTTCAGTTTGTTATGATTACAGTTGTTGTTGTTGTTGTTGTTGTTGCGGCGTTGCCTTATCGCACGTTTATTTAAAATTTCATGACGCCTTTGTGGGCGTGCCCCGCCAGTCAATGCATTTGCCTTTTGCATACCTTTCAAACGACTTTGATACGAGCTGCGACTGATAAGAGAACACTCATTAACATGCGCATTGTACAGTGAAAGCTCGCTTAACGAACAGACTCCAGATCTGTATTTTACTGTATTTACTGCGTTCTAAAGGAGATTTATTTAAACAAATGCCAAAAGCGGGAATGTTTGCAATTGTAGAACAGTTTGCTTATTTGTTTATTTCAAGAAATTCTATCTTAAACTTGCACTATTTCGTATCTCTCTAAGTTTCATGTTCCGTTAGAATGCAATACCTTCTAGAGTTTTTTTTTTTCTTTTTGTAATCATCTGATATGCTTGGAATTTTTTCTGCTAGGGTATATGTGTGTGTGTGTGTGTGTGTGTGTGTGTTTGTATCTGCACTTGGCACATTTTCTTTGTGCCTATCTGATGCCTCTTGCCTGCAACTGGCAAATGTGTAACCTAATCCCAAAAAGCAAAAAAAAAAAAACCATTCAACTGCTGCTGCACCTGTGCAGAGAGAGAGAGAGAGAGATGGGGGCAGGTGGGCGGGGCTGTTGAGCTACCAACAGCTGGCGGCAACGAAATAACTTGGTTTTTGGCTGCTTTTTAGCTGCTTTTCTGGCTGTCTTTTCACGTAGCATGTTTATGGCCAGCCGCCTGCGGCTGTATCAACAAGCAAACAAAACTGCATCAAAATACACGAGAGTACATAAAAGAAAAGGAACATATTTATTTAACTCTATCGCTGGATAAGCTTGCGTTCTTCTTCTGACCAGCCAAACAATTGCAGCAGCAGCAGCAGCAACAGCAACAACAACAACAACAACAACAACAACAGCAACAACAATAACAACAACAACAACAACAACAACTATGTAAACTTGTGTGCAACTTTTTGGTGTTTACTTTGCTCAGTCGCCTACCTTTTGCTTTGAGCCATGTAATTTTTAATTATGCTTTTGGGCAATAGAAGACAGAAGACGGCGTCTATCTATAAAACAAGTAAGAGCTAAATTTGATGCGCCTGGCCGGCGTTTAAATACCCTAACATCAAAGGTCTAACTATAAAAATGACCAAGTTTTTTTTTTGAGAATTTCTTTTATGAGATTGTCTTTATATAAGAATGTCTTTCATGTTGATGTTTGTCGATTTCGATTATCTAACATATAGGATATTAATTCGAAGCGAGATTGAAACAGGGGAAATTGTTTTGCAAAATCTGGCACTAGATCCCAGAATATAAATATATATGTATATAGACTTTAAAGGTACCTCTGTGCGTTACATATTGGATGACAAAATGCTAATGCCCTTTGCTAGGCCATATAATATTTATATATAATGGTCGATAGTCTGGCCGAGCCTGTTTGGTGTTTGCATACGCCAACGCATCGTTGTGTTTGTTGTTGTTGTTGTTTTAGTTGTTTTAGTTGTTGTTGGCAAACAGCTGGGGCAACTGCTGGGAACGTTTGCAAGATGCAGACACACTCTTGAAAGTTATAAACTGGCCTCTTTGAGCCAAAAGTGATTGCATGAATGAATGCATTTGTTTTGCATCTTGAACCCGCCGTTTTTCTTCTTTTTGTTGTTTCTGCTGTCTGACACCCACGCGCCCAAACATATTCGATTTCGATTTCATTTTGTTCGCCTGGGTGTTGATTTGAGTGCATGAATGAATATCCATGAGCATATACTACACACATATTAAAGGAGAGGCGTAAGCCATATATCTTTCTTATATATGTATATATTATGGCTACCCACGGCGCAGCAGCTGCTGCTGTTTTTCGGGCTGTCTTTTGTTAGCTTTGCTAATCGCCTGCCCCACACACTTTTGGGCCAATCAACAGCTCAGAAGTTCATTAAAAAAAGTTTCCATTTTTTTTTTGTCGCACGTCAAAAGTTGAGAGAGCGCGTACTCTAATGGATTTTAAGCGAGTTCTGATTAGGTGAAAAAATGTCGGTCTTTATTTAAAAATGAACAAACTTTGAATCTGCATCGAGCCGGGATCTGTTCGTTGAACCGAGCTGGCGCCTTGCAACTGAGCTACTCGTGCCATTAGCTTAAAGGCAGATAAACTTCTTGTGATAAATGTAAAATAAGCACTTAAATTGAGGAATGGGTGAAGGTTAAGCATTATATTGTAATATTGACCTTATTTTCAAACCTGATTTCCAGTTGAGTCAATATTTTGCGCTGTGTAGTCATATTTTGTTTGGTTTAAAAGCAATCAAAAAGAATCAAGTGCGGCTTGTACGCATGGATTAATTATTAATTAAATGCCAGCGAATTAGTTAAGCTTGCCACAAGTCTGCCCCCGTCTGTGGCAGCTCCTCCACTTGGCCACAAGCCGCATGAGAGCCATTAAGCGATTATTTGCACTGCCAAGACAGATTTTCAGCTAACGAGCGCAGACAAAAAGCAAACAGAACAGTGAAAACTGACATGTTTTGTCTACAAAGTTGCCATGGATATCGTATATATATATATATATATTCCCTGTGTATATATATTTCCCTGTATATAAGAAAAGAAATCTTTTCTGGCGGCTTAGAAAAGCGCCGGAGCGAGCCGGCAAAGCGGCGACTGAAAATAACAAACTTGAACTACAAAGAAAAAAAAAAAAACATAACAAAACAAAAGAAAATACAAAATAACAACATGTGCCGGCTAGCGGTACTTTTGTTTATCATTAACGAGTGTTGACTGTGGCGCAGACTTTGTTGTGATAAAAGGCGGGCTGTGGCCAGGCAAAAACCCAAAGCCAAAGTTGGCTTTAATATTGCCAAAAAAAAAAAAAAAACGAACTTCAATTAGTGTTTGCTTAAAACATGCCAGCAGGCGGATATTCTAATGAAGAACGCTTCGCTTTAGCGCTAATGTTTCTTTGTTTTTTTTTTTTTTTTACATTTCTGCCAAAGTGGTTAACAAAATGGCAACCCACAGAGGGTATTCGTTTCTATAATGAATATTGGCCCACTTAAAATTATCTTTATGGGGCAACTACTTGGAAATGAACAGCAAAAATCGCCAGAATGCTTATTCAACGGGTAATTGGACACAAAACTTGAACACCAGAAGAGCTGAAGAGTAAATTTCTAACCGATATATGTTCGATAAATATCGATTTTGCACTTCCATAAAGCACACACACTGAAAAGAAGAAGAGTTAGAGGCAACATCCCTTTCAAGCAGAAAATCATGTTATAACTATATTTATCGACTATGTATATCGATAACTTATCGATAAAAGTTTATTAATTCATATGCTTTGAAATTATCCATTTCACTGAAAATTAAAAGAACCAGAAACAACTTCTATATAAATCCAAAGCCTTTTTATAAGAACGGCAACTAATGCTTTCAATAAGCTAATCAACTATGTTTATCGATAACTTATCGATACAAGTTTATTAGGTTTTTAAAAAGTAATGCACATTTGTTGCTTAATTTATGCTTTTGCTTTGTTTCAACTGGAAACTGATTTAAACAAATATATTATTCCTGGTTATTTTTTTTTTTGAGTAAAAATCGATTCAGTGCGTTAATAGTTTCCAAGTATGCGTCTCAAAAGTCTATAAATAAGATTTATTTTTTTACTATATATACACACACACACACATATTTATATCTGTTTGTGTACACACATTTTCCCACTCGTGTTTTGGCCATGTTTTCAATGTGTAATCATATAATTTTATGCCCGATTAAACAGCAGAACGCTCTAATGT